CCTCGGCCATATTGTCTCCGCTGAAGGCATCAGTATGGACCCCTCGAAGGTCACAGCCCTCGTCGAGTACCCCCCACCCAAGACCCTCCTCCAACTCCGTTCCTTCCTTGGCCTTGCCAACTATTACCGCCCGTTCATTCGCAACTTTTCCGAGATTTCTTACCCTCTCCACAAACTCACCCGCAAGGACGAGCCTTTCCATTGGAACGATCGCCGCCAACAAGCTTTCGACTTACTCAAGCAAACCATCACCACCGCCCCTGTCTTCGAGATCGCCGACCCCACTCGCCATTTCTATGTCACCACTGACGCCTCTCGCCATCGGAGCCGTACTGTCCCAACATTTCCCCCGCGACACCGCCGAGACCCCCTCCATCAAGGACTCGCCCACTCACCCCGAGGCTCCACTTGGCGAATACCCTATCGCCTTCGCAAGCAAGAAGCTCCTTCCCGCGGAGATGAATTACCCCTCCAACGAGAAGGAACTCCTCGCCGTGATTCACGCCCTCACAGTCTGGCGCCCGTACCTCGACGGGCAATACTTCACCATCCGCACTGACAACACCATCGTCTCCTCCATCCTCTCCAAGAAAGATATCACTCCACGCCAAGCCYGCTGGCTAGACTTCCTTGCCCAGTTCACATTCACCATTTGCCATACCCCCGGCAAAAGCAACCGCGTTGCCGATGCCCTCTCATGACGACCCGACCACAAGACCCTCGAGAAAGTCTACGCCACCATGACTCATATTCAACTCCTTCCATCACTTCATCACCGATACACCCAAAGCTATCTCTCCTGCTCAAACTTCGCCACCATTTACAACAAGCTCCGCGATCTTGACTTAGTTCCCGACTACTCCCTTCACAACAATCTCCTCTACATCATTACCAAAGGCACTCGCCGACTTTGCATCCCCGACGCACGAGGCCTCCGTACTCAGCTCTTGGCCGAGCACCACGATGCCAAGACCACAGGACATCTCGGTTTCCAGAAGACCTTCGACACCATCTCCCGCTACTTCTACTGGCCTTCCCTACTCGTCGACGTTAAGGCATACATTCGCTCGTGCCCTGTCAAGCTGTCAACCCCTCGAACCGGGCCAAACCCGGCAAGCTCCAATCATTGCCCATCCCAACTCACCGGTGGCAGTCCATCTCCATGGACTTCGTGTGCGGCCTCCCCAAGACCGACCGCGGGCATGATTGCATCTACGTCATTGTCTGCCGCTTGACCAAACGTGCCCACTTCATCCCTTGCACGACCTCGCACAGTGCCAAAGACGTCGCCACACTCTTCTTCGACCATGTTGCTCGCCATCACGGCCTCCCCGAGAACATCATCAATGACCGTGATCCTCGCTTCCTCTCACAATTCTGGAAACACCTCTTCACGTCCTACGGAACCACGCTCAAGTATAGCACTGCATTCCACCCACAGACCGATGGACAAACAGAGAAGATGAACGATACACTCCAAAGAATCCTGCGGAAGTATTGTCATCCACACCAACACGATTGGGATCAGTTGCTCACAGCCGCCGAAATTGCCTACAACAATGCTGTTTGCCCCTCCACTGGCATGTCCCCTTTCTACCTCTGATTTCTTGCTTCCCTCGCAGCTCAGCCCCTCCACCCCCTGCCCCTCTCTCAATGAATGGATAGCAACAATGAACAGACTCCTCAGAGAAGCAACTGAAGCCCTTGAAAGAACCCACCCCCTGCCCCTCTCTCAATGAATGGATAGCAACAATGAACAGACTCCTCAGAGAAGCAACCGAAGCCCTTGAAAGAACACAAGAACAACAAGCCAACAAGACTAACAAACACAGACGTGACGTGTCATTCAAAGTAGGGGACAAAGTCNCCCCCCCCCCCGACACATTATCAAGACTTTGATGTGTGATTCACTAGTGCTGGCTTTTCATTTAGATCAGATCTGTTTACTTTCGAGTCCAGAGACACTAATCTAGAGAAGATAAATGACTCTAGGCAGTCGTAGCTTGTCTCTCTCCATAAGCTGTCTGAGTGGATCACTTGGTCTGACGTGATCACAGGCCAGAAGGCTATGGCTTGAATGCTATTAGACTGAAAATTCTGAAATGGGATTTCTCTTTTGATTCTGCAAAGTAGTTGAACAGTGACAATCAGCGCTTCTGTTTTTCTCGAGACTTCTGTTCAGCTGCAACGATTGCCTTTTGAGCTGGGCCGGAGACACTTCCCATTCGGGCTGTTGAGGCCGCAGACACACTCCTGGATTGCTCACCATCCCTGTTTCATTTGACAGACGAACCACATCCAAGCAGTTAACCATTATCAATATGCTATTCTGCATCCATCGTGCAAGGAAAATGAGCAATAGTGAGATGACAGAATCCAGATTGCACACCCAAGAGCCTAGCTCAGTGGGTACACCCATGAACTGTTGAAATACAGACCTGTGTTCGAATCCAGATGATGGAACTTGACGAGTAAAACAAACTACTAATGAATTGCTTGGGGCCGGTCAGCTTAATGATAATATCTCAAGGCCGTCACCCTTCTAATAAAAAAAAAAGAATCCAGATTGCACAATCACATTGGAAGCCAGAAAGTTCCACAGTGTCCAGAGAGCAGCTCTGCACCAATAATACACAAATGGAGAATCGAAACACTGAAACCGAATCTCAATGAGAGCTTACTCTCGTCATCACCAACATAAGAGTCCAGGCCCTTCCCCCTACTTGGCGCTCGGCGCCAGACTAGTCCCACACAGCTACTATCTGCCTACGAATTGACAATGCAACTGTTGACGTCAGCAGCCACCGAAGTACATGAAGATGTCGCCCGATGCAGACTATCACCAATACCAGGTATGTGCCGTCACGTCATCATCCTCAACTCTCTCTGTCTCTCTCTTGACTTTCACCCACGTCCTCTCCCTCATACATGAAGACCTCCACTACCGCTTGCTGTACGTCCAAGCCCCAGCCAGCTATGGAAGCTGGGCTATGGCTCTGCCCTCAGCAGCGCCCTTCCTCCTACACGACCGCACGTGCTTGCACCTTGCCTTAGCGCTAGCAGCAGCCCGCGAGCGTCCGCTCCAGCAGCGCTGCCACAAACTAGCAAGTGCCCGAATGAATGCCCAGCCAGCTAGCACCTTCCTATATGGAAAGAGCTTGGCCCGGCCTGCGGCCTTGCTGAGCTGGGCCTGCGCCCAGAAGCTTCCGGTAGGCCCCAGGAGGCTGGGCCTTTGCTGCTGCTGCTGTTGCAGCCCTGGGCCCCGTTCGGTTACCTCCCCCAACTGCCCAAAGTGTATACTGCTGCAGAAGTGGCCCAGGACCTGCTTAGAGAAAAGCCTAGAAGGCCGGGTAAAGTTCTGCTGCTCGCGACCTGGGTTTTCCTCAACCAACTGACGCGACGAAACTGTCTGACCCCCAAATGCGAAATTGACAACAATGCGCCCCTCGTGATTTTCTCAGGCCCGCCTTCACTTAGGGCGGGCACATTTGCAAAATGGGCCCCCTAGCCAGATCCTCGCATTCCCTCCTCCTTTACTTCGATATTCCCCTGAGAAGTTCTTTACTCTGCAGGCATCTTTCCCTTAAGTCTTCTTTCATATCCTGCTATCACTTGGGGAGCTGTTTGCTGCAGTTCCTCTCTGGTAAGCCACCGATCTTCGCTGGGATCAGTATGGTGTCTGAATCTGACTCGGTACTGCATCCTTGGTTTTGGAGGTCGGCCTCTTCTGGGAGGTTTAGGCACAGGCATCATTCTGTGCGCCACGATATCATCGATGTCGACTTCTCCATCGATGGTTGGGGGCAGCATTGATCATCTGGAAGGAAATTGTGCAGTTTCTGCAAAAGGTGCGAGCTTGGAGGCGTGAAAGACTGGGTGTGTGCGCAAGTGAGCAGGGATGCGAATCACATAGGAGGGTCCATCTATCTGATCTCCCACTATATCTAAGACCTCCCAGGGACCAAAATACTGCGGCATTAGTTTTCGTGAGATTCCCAACTCTTGACCCAGTTCAGATGATTTAACACATACTCGTTCTCCTACTTGAAACTCAGATGGCCGTCTGTGCTTGTTCTCAGATGCCACCATGGCATCTTGATCTTTCTTAATATGTTCTACAGCCTGTTGCAGCCTCTGTTCATACTTGACAACAAACTCTATGCTGCCAAGTGCTGCAGATGGCTGTCTCGGGTAGTAGGAAATCTAAGGCGGACCTGGGCTTCCAACCAAGGTGCAGTTGGGTGGGAGTCATGCTAGTAGTGCTATGCACAGCGTTGTTGTACAGGCTGGCGACGAGATGCAATTTCTCGTCCCAGTCATCCTGACTTGGCTTGATGTAATGTAGTAGCAGGTGCTGCACTACTCGGTTCATGTATTCCGCCTGGCCATTTGACTCAGGGTGATTCCCTGATGTCATCTGCAGTCGGGTGCCCATCTGTTGGGCAGTACTCCACAGTTCGCTAGCGAAGCGGACGTCCCTATCACTAACAATGGACTTGGGAAAACCAAAGTCCCGTACCCAGTTATCCATAAACAGCTTGATAACATAGTCAGTTTTTGCTGTTTCCGGCATAGCGATTAGTCCAGCATACTTGGAAAATCAGTCCACTATAACTGTTACGGACTCCGCCAGGGCTCGATCCCTGGTCTATCTTTTGCTGTTTCAGCTGCATCCCGTTTTCGGCCTGGCACCCTTTTTCCAAACCCCTCCTTTGGTACCGTAGGATTTTGGACAACTGGCGCCATGCTGCAATTCGGGCGCCGCTTTCAAATACTGCATTTTTCAGTTCTGCCCTCGGGGCCTTTGCAGAAATGCCCCTGGTACCGCATTGGCCCCCGCCGCTCCCGCCGCCCCTGCCGCTTCGACGATTGCCACAGGTGTTGTCGCCCAGATACCGGTATCTGGCCAGACAGTTTCCTCTACCCACCCCGGTGCTGCTTCCCAGCTTCCCGCACCGGTCGCGACACTACGGTCTGGAGTTCTTCTTCCTCCCTCTAGGGTACTCTCTCTGCCTCCTCCACCTCCGACTCCGCGCAGCCAGCGAGCGGCTACCCTACAGGCCACCGTGGTGCAACTCCAGGCAGAGATTCTCTCCCCAAGACAGCCTCACCCTTCACAGGCTGCTCACCCCTCTTCTTCTTATACTGCTCCTCCCACCTCTGTCTTGCCGGCTCGTTTCCCTCGACCGCCCCCCCCCCCTCTACCCTACTACCTCGCTACTCCATCACATTTGGCTGCGGCTGTTGCCTCCACGTCTGCTGGACCGTCCACCAGCAGCCCGGACTCTCAGCCTGCTATCACTTCCACGTCTGCACCGGCCTCGACATTTGCCGCCGTACTGCAGGCCCCTCGACCTCTCTCCCTTCGCCGTCAGCACAGCGGTCCCACCCTTGTGCGTCTGTTGGACATACCCGACTTCGATGGTACTATGCGTGTGTCGCACTGGTTGCAGGCTGCCACACGTGCGCTGACACTGACTGACACTCGTCAGAAGTTGTGGTGCTTCGCGCTCGCAACTAAATTGTGAGGCAGCGTGTTCTCTGCATAGGAGAACTACTATACCCATCGTATTCGCTCATGTGAGGATCCCACTCTCACGGATTTCACGCCGTTCCTCCATGACCGCTACGACACTCTCCACGATGCGACTGACGCCTTAGATCGGGTCACCCAGACGCAATGGTGCGGGTCCTCCGCACCAGTCGATCTTGAGCGTCACATTAGAGTGTTTCAGGACGCCCGCCTCATTTGCGATGAGGCACTTCTACCTAAGGTCCTTTTTACCAACAGGTTCATAGTCAGTCTCCCGTCTGACTACCGCATCGAGCTCCGGCGACAGAGTTTCGCCTCCTCTACGACACTCTCCACGATGCGACTGACGCCTTAGATCGGGTCACCCAGACGCAGTGGTGCGGGTCCTCCGCACCAGCCGATCTTGAGTGTCACATTAGTGTTTCAGGACGCCCGCCTCATTTGCGATGAGGCACTCCTACCTAAGGTCCTTTTGACCAACAGGTTCGTAGTCAGTCTCCCGTGTGACTACCGCATCGAGCTCCGGCGACAGAGCTTCGCCTCCTCCGAGCAGGCCTACGAGGCTGCTCAACAGTACCAGCAGATGCGGAGTCGCTTCTCCGACACCCCATCTTCTTCGCGATCCACTGCCACCGCCACCCAGTCACGCGGCACCACGCGCGGTCGATCCTCCTTCGCCGACCAGTCACGCGGCACCACGTCACGCGGC